TTCCTTTCTTATTTTGCTAATTTGTGCTCTCTCTTCTTTGTGAGTTTGGCCAGAGGTTTGTCGATTTTATTTACTTTTTCAAAAAACCAGCTTTTGGTTTGGTTGATTTTTTCTATGGTCTTGTTAATCTCTATTGTATTTAATTCCTCTCTGATCTTTATTATTTCCTTCCTTCTGCTGCTTTTTGGGGCTCTATTGTTTCTTTAAGAAATTCAATATCAATCTTATATTTTCTTCTTTGAAGAGGGTATGTCTTTTTTCCTTCTGGCTGCTTTTAAGATTTTTGGTTTGTCTTTGGTTTTAAGCAGTTTGACTATGATGTGTGTAGAGAAATTCTGCTTAAGTTTTATAGGACTTGAATCTTTTGCTCAGAGTGTTTCACCAATTTTAGGAAGTTTGCAACCGTTATCTCTGCAAGCATTGCTTCTCTATCCTCTCCTTTTGGAATTCCAGTCCCACATATGTCATATTTTTTTCATACTATGTTATACTTCTTTGCCTTTATTTCTGTATTTTTTACCATTTTATCCTCTTGTGCTTTGGCCTGAAATTTTTTCTTCAGATGTTCACTAGTTTTCTGTTCAGATATGTTTAATCAACTCTTAAACCTATTAAGCTCTTTTTTAAACCTTTTTAAAAGATCTTATGTTTTATTTATTATTGTATTATTTATTTTAGTAGGGGAGAAGCAATTAGATTTATTTACTTATTATCAGAGGTACTGGGGATTGAACCCAGGACCATCATGCATGCTAAGCACACACTCTACCACTTGAGCTATATCCTCCCCTACATTAAGCTCTTAATTTATTGATTTCCATGAGTCTGCCAAAACCTCAGCTCACTTGCTTAGCTTCTTAGCCACATCTTTTCAGAATCAGCAATTTCTTGGAAGGGTAAGGCTCCACTAAATGCCCACCTCCCCTCCCTGAGCTTCCATCCTCTCTGGGATCTTGTCCCTGCAAATCTTCCTTGTTAGCTCCCTGATGAATTCAAAGAAGTGTTTTTAAATATGTCATCAAGCTTCTCTAGCTATTTTCAGTGGAAGTGTTTGGAACAACCTACTCTACCATTGCTGGAAGTGGAATTTCTCTGTTATTTTGAGAGGCAGCCTAGTGTCTAAAAGGCTTTGAACTGTGTCTGGCACAATGGTATGTACTCAATGAGTTTGTGCTATTATTATACATGAAATTAGCTTATAGTTCCCTTTTTTGTATTATGCTTGATCTGCTTTAGTATCATTATTCTGAAAGCTTTGTAAAATGAGTTGGATGACATTCTATATTTCTCTATCCTCCAGAAGTCTTTATATAACATAGATATTATCTATCCCTTGAAGATTTGATAGAACTTACCTTTAAAATTACTTACTATTATGATCAGGTCATTCCTGATGGCTGTTCTATTGCTCTCTGCACATCCCCTGTTTAATCAGGCCCTGCCTCACTCACATGACTATCCAATCCTCTTAATTATAGGGCTTAATCAGTAACTGCCTACATGATTGCCCCCTGTCCCTGCCGCTGGTTTCCCTGGTAACTGTTGAATCCACCTGACTTCAATTCCCCCTATAATTGGTAGACTCCTCTCCAAGTAGCAAAGTTTGTAGCCATGTCCTTCCAGTTATCTGCCATCCACAGTGGGATGGCCCTATAGGACCCTTTGCTTTAGATGTTTAATATCCCCTATTCAATAAACCATTGATGTCCCTGTCACTGTCTCTGGGATCTTCTGGGCTCAAGAGCAAAGTCTTGAGGCTGAGAAACTACAAGGCTTGTAGGCCTGTGGAGTGTAGCCCAACACTTGGACCTATTATTATTTTTAGTAATAAACTTTTAGCTATGTTTCAATCTGTTCAATAGTTATTAGTTTTTCTTATGCAGAAATTATTCAGAAATTCTATCAGGAACTCAGTAATTATTTCTGTTTAGGTTTTATACTTCTTGAAAAAATTTTAAAATTCCTAGCAGAAATTGAATGTAATTTTTTTTAATAATAGCCAATGCTTTTATTTATTTTTTGGTGGGGGAGGTAGTTAGGTCTATTTATTTATTTACCCTTAGAAGAGATACTGGGGATTGAACCCAGGACCTCATGCATGCAAAACATGCACTCTACCACTTAAGCTATACCCCCCCCGAATATAATATTATTTAATAAAGCTTCTTCTGGGTCTGTGGCTATGCCTCATTTATCACTTCCAACATCACTAGTGTTTTTCATGCTTTTTAAACCACACCTGATCAATTTTATTTTATTCAATTTTTAAGAAAACAGCTTTTGGTTTTATGGTTCAAGTCTACTATTGTTGTGTGAAGCAACATGTGTGGCTTTGGGGCTGACGTGGTTTAAAGCTCCCTTGTCCCTTGCCTTGGAGTCATGGGATTCCACCTGTTCTAGATGGAATGAGACAGATGAGTGGCACCCAAGCCACATCAGACTCTGTGTGAGAAGTAAGCCTTAACTTTGACCAGTCACTGAGATATCAAGGTATATTTGTAACTGCACCACAATCAAGACAATTCTGACTACAGAAATTAAAATTTTTGATATTCTAAAACATGGTCAAATTTTTTAAATTCCATGGTACTTAAAGTGATTTTATATTATTTGCCTCTTCTTGTGTAATCCTTTATTTTGTAGTTGTTTTAAATTTATTTCATTTTAAAAATCTTCCCAGAGTATTAAAGACTTTGGGGTAGGAAAGATCATATACTCAGTCCCCATTTTGGTCCACCCCTTATCTTTTGTTTAGCTACATTCTGGTACAGTTTTCATTTTGTAGCTGAAAATGGATTTTTTTTAAGAAATAAGATATTAAAAGTCACATAGGCTTTATCATTTTAGTGCGAAGGAAAAATGAGCTTTGTAACTTTAATTTCTCTATTGACAAGTTATAAGGTACTGAGTTATAAACATGAACACCCAGACACATACTGTGCCCTATGTCTTTGCCTCCTAATGATATCTCAGGTAAATCTCAAAGCATTTAGGTCACTTGCAGCATGAAAAACTCCATTTCAGTCTAATTTAACCAATTGCAAATTTGAATCTCAGAGCCTCTCCTCCTCAGCAAATGCCAGCTAGGCTTCTCCCAGTAGAACTTGCAGTGAAAATGAGGTTGCTCTCTGACAACTACACCATCCCTCCTCTGGGTCTCTCTTTCTACTTAGATGAGTAAATGGTTCCTTACTTCTGTGGGATGTGTGCAAAGACAGGGCAGTTTAGATCATAGGATTACTCAGAAGCTTGAGCTCCCTGTCATTGACACAGTTGGTCCTTTAGCCACTGACACAACAAAAGAGATTTCTTCACATACTTTAATCATATATACCCCAAAGACATGCTTAAAGGGATGAAAAAAGGTCACAATGCTTCCACATTGGTTTTTTTAAAAAGAATTTTGTGTTCATACTACCGGTGATAGACATATTCCTTCATTTGGAGTTTGATTTCTTAAGTATGCACAAGTCCCTGGTAAAGCTTAAGATTCTGGATATCCAGACAATACAGACAAGGTTCCTGTCCTACAGGAGCTTGCATTCTAGTAAGGGGTAGATATATCAGAAACAAGTAAATAAACTTTGTGGTAAGTACAGTAAGGAAATGAAACTGGAGGATGTGATAGAAACTGAAAGGAGTGTGAGGCTACTTTAAAGCCCTTGGGGAAGACCACTCTGAGGAAGGATATTTGAGCCAATATCTGAAGCATAATAGTCAGGCACTCAAAGGGTCTGGGAAAGAGTTTCGGGCAGAGAATAGCAATTGTAATCTAATCCTGAGACAGGGATGAACTTTGTGTAACAAACAACAAAGGAGACGCAGCTGAGATGCAGTTTCATGAAGGAAATGGTCGGTGTTAGGCAGGAACTAGACCAGGTTAGAGCCTTATAGGTCATGAGGAGAAATTTGGATTTTATTCCAAATGCTATGGGAAGCCTTTAAAGGATTTCATAAGGGGAAAGAAATAGACTAGTTTATGTTTTTAAAGGATAATTATGACTGCCCATGGAGAATGAAATTCAAGGGAGCAAAGAAGGAGGCAAGGAGCTCAAGCCAGAAGCTGTTGCCAGAACACTTTCACAGTATGGTGGCTGGGATCAGTGCTGGAGCACTGGATATGAAGAGAAGTAGGTTAACTAAAAATAAATTTTAGATATAAAATTATTAAGACGTGCCAACATATTTTCTGTGGATAATAAAGAAAAGCACAAATCAAGGATGATCCCTAGGTTTCGGGTTTAAACAATTGTGTTAATAGTGGTACTATTTACTGAGATATAAAAGACTGGGGAGAGTTGAGATGGTGGTAGAGTAATCAAGAGTTCAGTTTTGGATATAATAAGTTTGAGATGCCTATGAAGTATTCAAGAGGAAAACTCAGCTAGGCAGTTCGAGTTATAAATTGTGTGCATAATCTGGTGATGTTTAAATCCATATCACTAGATGAAGTCATATAGGACTAAAATATAGTGAGAATCTCAGAATCTGAAGCCTGAGCTATGCAGCACTCCAACATGACTATAATATTTCTATCCTAATTTTTCAAAATGGTTTACAAGGAGAAGATCGCTGTAAAGAAGGAAGTTTGGCTGCCTTGGTTTCTGTCAAGATGGGAGAGTGGTAGGACCACGAGCTTGCCTCTCCTTGCAACTATAATGAAACCACAACTGAATGCTAAACAACCATCGAAAAAAGACTGGAACCTAGAAAAAAAATATCTTCTGCAACTGGGAACATAAAGAGGGAACCACAGAAGGATGGTAGGAGGGGCATGATCATAATATAATTGGGCCCCATACCCCCCGGGTGGGTGACCCACAAGCTGAAGATTTGTTAAGTCTCAGAGGCCCTCCCACAGGAGTGAGAGCTCTAAGCCTCACGTCAGGCTCCCCAGGTCGGGTCCTGGCATTGGGAAGAGAAGGAGACCCCAGGACATCTGGTTTTGAAGGCCAGTGGGACTTGGCTCTGGGAGCCTCACGGGACTGGGGGAAATGGAAACTCCATTCGCTTGAGAAGCGTACACGGAAACTCACATGCACGAGGTCCAAGGGCAGAGGCAGTGATTTCATAGGAACCTGGGCCAGATCTGCGTGCTGGATTTGGAGGGTCTCCTGGGGACATGGGGGACAGCTGCAGCTCACCCAGGGGACATAAAAGCTGATGGCCGGCATTCCGGGAGTGTTAATCTACATGAGCTTTCCTGCAGGCTGACATCTTGATTAGAACCAAGACCAGCCCCACCCGTCAGCAGACTTCCTGAGCCACAGAGGCCTCTAGACACAGCCCTGCCCACC